AGAAAAATCACTTGTTCATTTTGATCATCAAAATGTAAATTATCTTCTCATGCCTACATTACATATGTCAACAGCTCCTACTAGTGCTCTCTTTCTGTCAAGTTATAGAAACAGCTTTAGGCACATGCTTTTGTACAGGTTGTTTTCTAATTCACTGTACTGAGTTTATATTGTTTTGAGGTGGTATAAAAATGATACAAAATTATAATAAAAAAATATTTTCATCCTAAACATTTCCATTCAAGTGTTCCTAATATAGCCTTAAATGTGATGACAATTCCTTATATTCATGCTGGCATTTTTACCAAAACCCTTTGTTATTTATATCCTTGAAGTTTACTCAAGGCACAATACTCATAAAGACTTTTCAAATAATTAAACCTGGTTCTATTTTTGTAAAGCACGCTAACTTTTCATGTCTTTCCAGCATTCTCTGTGAGCTTAGAGAACTAAACTAGTTCTCTAAGTTCACAGAGAATGCTGGAAAGACAACATAATTCTACAGAAAGAGGTGTAGCTAATCACACTACTGCAGTCTCCCTACTAAGTAATGTAAGTACTCTATACCTAATTACTCACAAAATCTTTTTTTTACACACAAGATTCTCTTAGATTTACTTGTTGGTATTCAAAGTGCTTTGTGGAGTTTTCTGCCCAGCTTTGCAATAACTGCCACAAGTCATGCCGACCCATTTCAAGGAGGACATCCAGCAACACTTGGATGGTGGCCCCATCACCCTTTCGTTTGATCCATGCACTTAAGAGATCATGGGTAGGTTGATTACTTCTATTGAGGTTGGAAATCTCCTGCCTAGGAAAGCCAAGTTTCTCACCCAAAAGGCGGTAGTCATCGTAGAAACAGGTTATCATGTCGAGCTTTGTGCAAAGTGAATGGTAGGTTTTCCCTGGAATATGTTCAATAGTTTGTTCTCGCTTGTCAGATATAGTACTCGGCAAACAGTTCTGGCAAACAGGCATGTCTTGGTCAGTTGGTGTTTCATGGTCATGTGGCTGTAAGGACACAAACAGTGGAGTGCCTGGTTCCTGATGAATGCCACTGCACTCAAGGTCATTGATTTCTTCATTAATTAATCCTTTGTTGTAATCTGATATTGTAGGCAGGGACCCACAAACAAACAGAGGTTTGGATTTGGCATGGTAGACAACATTGCTTGTGGCTTGTTCTTTTTGTTGACCTGTCAAATCAATGCTTGGCAACTTGTATGCTTGAAAACTGTTGGCGTAATGAATTTGCCCTTCACTTAGGGATTTATGTAGAAATCCATGTTGGGTCTCTACAGGCCATGTGGAGGAACTGTTGCTTGAAGGGAGGGAATTTCCTTCGTACAAAAAACGTGTGGGTTCCTCTATTGATAACACCACTGAAGTTTTAGCTCTCTCTAGCTTGGTTTTCACCTCATGGAAACTGAGACCTTTAACTGCCTGTCCATTGATTGCTGTTATTTTGCATCCTGGGTTGAGGTATTGGGACACTGCAGCAGGAGTGTGACCAGCAACAATTTGTGTGATAATTGCACAGGGCTGTTCAAGTGGATTCTGTACAAAGATATTTGACTTTATATTAATTAATATTCATCTGATAGATGATTGATTGGCGGCTAATGTGTTGAACTCAAGACTAAAAGGTCCGATTTTAAGCGTTCTTACAGCCTGGGTTAGGGAAGAATGGTGATGTCATGACGATGATGATCAGGATGTATTTTGGAAAATTATAATGGCTTAAGAGGGCTCAGTGCTAGCTCCAATTCTAAAATTTTGCAAGGATTCAGGTAGCCTGATTCTCAGACAGTCCAGGTTGCTTGCAGCCACGCACTCACAGGGAGAGAGAGGGCGTGGCCATGAGGGACTATCAGGCTACGATTCACGGGACCTGGAAATTTGGAACATTAAGCTTTTACTTTGGTTGGAAGTTAATTATAAAGGAATAGGTATTGATAGGTTAAATGTCGAGAGATCAGAGTTCACAGACTTTTAATTGTCCGGGTCCTAGAAATATACTCATTATAATAAGATTCAATCATGTATTAAGTACCTCGACAAATTTAAACATAAAACCATAATTCATCTTTGAATCGCTCTTTTTCAACTCGGCTTGCAGCCCTCTCCACCCACAACCTGCTGGTGAATCAATGGCATGTCTGGTAAGGTATCCTAGAAAACCAGATAACACAAAAAACATATTAGGACATTAGTTAATATTTGTTTCAATTTGCAGTTGCATTTTTGTATGGATGGCAGGCATGCACAGTTACATCCCACGCGTCATTATTTCCACCGAAGAAATAAGTACCGGTAATTCAAATTCTGTTTGAAACTTGATACTGACAGCTCTTCACGAGATTAGAAGCAGAATAATTCTGAAGTAATGATAACTAGCATCATAATCTACTGCCACTTGTGTTATACTTGTTGTGTATGTTCCAGCTGCATGTACAGAGCCTGCCTTTAATGCTGTACTGATCAAATAATTTCATGGCATATCATATATATTAGGCAGGTGATACACGTGACTAACTATGTAGTTTTTAACTCGCGGGACACATATCATATGCTTTATAATGCTGTTCAATGCAGATCATATTTAAATGTCCTTTATGTAGAAACATACCATACTGCCTCCATTGCCTACTTTCAATGGTTAACATGATTTGCTGTTGTGGATGAAGTCGGTGAATAATATGTTGGAGCTCTTTGTAGGTCTTGTCCTGAAGTATGTGCTCATTGATGGCAATGACTTTGTCCCCTCGTTTTAGTCCCTTGAGGTCTATCTTTTGTTGAAAAATCTCATCAACTAGTGCATATGTTTTGCTTTTGTGATTTAAATCCTGAAGAATATGGAACATATAACTGCTTTCAGTAATGGTAAAAGTTATATCTAAGGAACCATCTGAATTGTCTATTTTAAGGCATTGATATGTACATTGAGGCCCTTAGGCGTCAGGGGTGGATCCAGGATTTTTCTTAGGAGAGGGGTGCACCACTAAGAAATAATTTTTTTTTTGCAGAATACCAGTTATATTAGAAAGCCGCACGTCATCCCGGGGGGAGGGGGTGCACACCCCCTGCATCCTCCCCCTAGGTCTGTCCCTGTGTGTAGAACATTTTATGGTTGTATAGTTTGACATGAAGAGTTTTTACACTTTCCCAGTTAGATTCAAATGCACATAAACATGGCAAAAATAGGAGGCAGAAGGAGGGGACCCTTAAATCTACATACAGTTTAGTTCAGACAACACACAGTGCTAGTATTGTTGCAATAGCACAATTACCGGGTGAAAGATGTCAAGACCAAAAGGCAGCTCCTTGAGTCCTGCTCTAATGCTGATGGTCACCTGGTTTGGATCCCAGAGATTAAATTCTTGGTATTCTACCGGTTTTCTTAGGACAAGGATCAGAAAATCATTGTAACATGCATATTTCACTCTCTCGATAAAGGTTTTGTCTTTGTCAAAAGTACTTGTTCCATTGATTGAAGTAATCCAGTCACCACTTTCCAACACATCTAAAGCATTTTGCATGCCACCCACAATCCAGTAGTAGTATGGTGGAATTCTGTCAGGATCCTAATAATAATAAAAGAAAATATTTGTTATCGTTCATTGTTAAATATATAGTTTCTTTTTGCATGGTAACAGCATACTGTGCCTGTCAGTTTTTTTTTCCAGTTATACACAATGCTGTTTTAATAATAAAACCTTTGTTTACAGGTATGCAATGCTTTGAGATATATGAAATGAAATGACGTCCACAAACATTTTTGACTTAATATATAGGCTAATAAATTAGTACATAAAAGATTTACATTCAAAACTTAAGTCTTGATCACATGCTTTTTTCTTTCAAAATGAAACAAAGACTGAATGAAGTTAAAAAGTATACTTAAAATTTCACTCGTCAGACAGCGTAACTAAATTTTTAGTTTATCTTACTTCTTCAAAAAACGGAAATGTTTATAGACGTAGTGCAGTCTCTCGGGAGTATCCCCCAAAAGAGCGTTGCGTGACGAACCCAATAAACCTCTGAATCAGGCTTCGTTCTGAGGCCTTTACACGTATCCGCATAAAATGTTTCGTTTCAAAATGAAAGCCGACAAAAGAAACATTGACAAAATGACAAATAATTAATTCCTAGTTTTTTGGAAACACTTCCAGACCACTGGATATCTGGGTAAAACGCTTTCTTTTCAGTTTTCAATTTTCGTCTATTCGCAGACGGCCAAAGCTCAGTATGTTACGCAACGAACGATTTTGATACAGATTTTGCATGGGAAACTCACGCTGTTAATTATTACATTTAAGAAATAGAAAACATGTACCGTGTTTCTATCGAGTTTAGTATAAATCTACTAGCATTCTATCACGAATGCCGTTCGCTACCCACTAGACTGTGAGCTCGAGATTTCTAATTCGAATTGGCACCCGGGACGCTTATTTAAAATTTAGGAGACGACGGGGGCGTTTATTCGAGGAGCGGGGGTGGGGGGAAGGGGCGCTTATTTAATTTTTCCCAAATCGTGGCCTGACGTGATCATTTTTTTAAATACTTCATCTACGCGTAAACACCTACATAAGCTGTTTATTGACAAAAAGCTGATCCTAAAGTTTAAATCGCGGCACCGTTAGTACCTAACGTGTTCACAAACTGAAACAATGTACAAATTTAATACTAAATGACGAAAACTAGACATCTTTTGTTGTCTCATTACTCGTCCACAAAATGAGGGGGGAGAAGAAGGGGGCACTTATTCGAGGGGGGCGCTTATTTTAAATTTCGGCCGATAGGAGGGGCATTCGAAGGGGGCGCTAATTCGAGGATTTACGGTATACTAATCTGCGATAGATAGTGAGAAGCGTAGCAGTGTGCCCACGTTAACAAAATGACGGCCTCTTCTTGGCATTTTCGAAGTGTCTGTGAAGAAGATTTATATAAAGTTTTGAACGACTAGTAGATTTATACTAAAACAATTAGATTATTCGCCGTCGATTTCCATCGCGTGATAGTTGACTCGGGCGTACTCAGCGCCCTCGCCAACTATCACGCGATAGAAATCGACGGCGAATGATCTAACTGTTAAATAGAAACACGAGTGAAAGTTTGGGAGAACGAGAAATGCTGCGGGAACACGAGCCGTTAGGCCGCGACGAATAAAACAAAAATAACTTGTTTACTTTGATCATCAAAATGTAAATTCTCTTTGCT